GGTAAAGCTGGAAGGTGGCTCAGTGGTAGAGCGCTTGCCTAGCATGCCTGAAGCTCTGGGTTCAATTCCTCAGCACCACATAAATAGAAAAAGCTGGAAGTGGCGCTGTGTCTCAAGTGGTAGAATGCTAGCCTTGAGCAAAAGAAGCTCAGAGACAGTGCCCAGGCCCTGAGTTCAAGCCCCAGGACTGGCAACAACAACAAAAAAAATCTGATGGTAACAGGGTGCTGGTGACTCACACCTGTAATCCTAGCTACTCTGGAGGCTGAGATCCGAGGATCATGGTTCATAGCCAGTCCTGAGCATGAAAGTTTGAGATTTTTTTTTTTTTTTGAATCAGTCGTTGGGCTTGAACTCTGGGCCTGGGCACTGTCCCTGATCTCTTCAGCTCAAGGCTAGCACTCTACCACTGAGCCACAGCACCACTTCCAGTTTTCTGCTGGTTAATTGGAGATAAAAGTTTCACGGACTTTCCTGCCTGGGCTGGCTTTGAACCATGATCCTCAGATCTCAGCCTCCTGAATAGCTAGGCTTACAGGCATGAGCTACCAGTACTCAGCATGTTTGAGATTTTTATTGTCAATAAACATTTATCACCAAAAAAGCCAGAAGTGGAGTTGTGGCTCAAATAGCCTTGAGCAAAAGAAGCTCAGGGACAGTGCCCAGTCCCTGAGTTCAAGCCCCAGGACACACACACACACACACACACACACACACACACACACACTGAGGTAAATTGGACCCTTCAAATATTCTGGTCACACACACACACACACACACACACACACACACACACACACACTGAGGTAAATTGGACCCTTCAAATATTCTGGTTCACCCCGGTGTGCCAGCTAGGCCCTGTTGCTGGGCATGGAGTTGGGAGGGGGACGTGGGGACAGCGAGAGTAAAGAGCCAGGCAGAGGCTCACTGGCATCAGCAGGGGCAGCTCATGGACTTCCCCAAAGTGCAAGAATACATGAGGACTGAGCTGGGTGCTGGTGGCTCATGCCTGTAATCCTAGCTACTCAGGAAAGTTCAAGCCCCACAACCCGAGGGGGGGGGGGGGGGGGGGAGAGAATACATGAGGATTATGGCCACAAAGGCGGAGAAACTCCAAGAGACAGAATGAGCAGAGGCCTGGCATGGTGTCTGCATGGTGGGAAAGGGGCGGGGACAGTGAGTAGTGGCAAGAGCCCCTGGATGCGGGGCTGTGTAGGCTGCTCTATGTCACAGGAGCAGTTATGCAACTCCAAGGCCACACTCTCTTCCCGCAGCCCCTTGAACAGGCTTAGTGCCCCTTTCCCTGCCACCGGCTCCCTTCCACCTCCCAGCGCCCAGACTGGCACATGCCAGCTCTTCCTCAAACCAAGAGCCACAGCGACCCTCCCTCCAAACCCACAGGCGCCCCAGGCTGGAAGAGCGCCTCGACTCTCTGCTTGCCCACTCTTCTGGCCGGCTTTTGCTCTTTGGTGTGCCCTGCTCCCTCCCGTCCCTCTCAGCCCTTGTGGCAGTAGCCACAGGCCTCTGCTTCTTGCCTGCCCCCCCAGCGTCTGCACACTACCACAGTGCTTCCCCTCTTCCGTAGAATAGGGACCCTGAGTAGCATCTTTTCCTGAGGGAGGTGGGAATTCAGTCATTTTGTACATAAGACAGGCAGTGCCTGAGGCCTGCCAGCTGCCGTCACGCACTCTGCACTCAGGAAACATTTGCTGCAGGGCCTGGCTTGAGATCTGGTTCCTGATCTTAGCAGGGGTATCTCTGGCCTCTACCTGTCTCTCTTGTACACACACACACACACACAGACTTAGCAGGGGTATCTCTGGCCTCTACCCGTCTCTCGTACACACACACACACACACACACACACACACACACACACACACACACACACACACACACACACACACACACACACACACACACACACAGTGGGGTGTGGAAGATGCTGGGATAGGCAGGGGCCAGGAGCCCTTCCTAGTGGATCTCCATTACCAAGGAGGAATGAAAGGCACACAATTCTTTAGGACTCTGTCCCTGCCTAGCCTTAGGGCTTTTCCTCTGGCACTGTGACTGCCTAGGCGTCTTCGTGGCCTCATCACCCTCTAGTCCTACTGTGGAAAGCTGGTTGGCCTGGCTTCCCTAAAACCAGGCCTGTCTTGAGTTCCCCTGTGGTAGTGTCCTAATCCTGGCCCTGGCCAAAGAAGGGTAGCAGCCATTCCCTCTGCTCTACTTCCTGTTCTACACTCTGCCCCTTCCTCTCTCCCACCCATCTAGCAAGCAGTCCCTCACCTCAGGTGGCCAGGGTGGGAGGATCCTGTCCTCCGGTACTCAGGAGAAGTGGGGTGGGTGATGGTGGTTAGGGCTGGGCTTAAGTATCTAGGCCAGTGCTGGTGGCTCATGTCTATAATCCTAGCTATTCAGAAAGCTGAGATCTGAGAATCTGGGATCAAAGCCAGCCCAGGCAGGAAAGTCTGTGAAGTGGAGCTGTGAAAGCTGTCAAAGTGGTAGAGAGCTCGCCTTGAGCAGAAGAGGTCAGGCTCAGCGCCCAGGCCCTGAATCCAAGCCTCACAATTGAACAAAAAAAGAGTTCATCCCAGGTAGGTTCTGCCTATGAGCCTGTTAAAGAACAAACCCTTTACCCTATTTCCTCATCTCCGAATCAGGGGCAGCATACATGGCAGGCTGACCCAAGGGTCAGATGTCAAATGCCACAACGGTGTGTGGCCTCATGCTCCATCAGCAGCCCCCGTGGCCACACTTGGTGTGCAGACTTGAGTCCTGGCATCCGTCACAGTAAGTGGCCTGCGCTCTGGACGGGAACTCAGCTCTAGCACTTACATGCCATGTGGCCTGGGCAATTTTTTTGTGGTCTAAGCTCCAGCTCCACCCTCCCTCGCCCCCCACCCCCGCTTCCTTTTGGTACTGGGGTTGGGACCCTAGGCCTTGCACATGCTGAGCCGTACCCCAGCTTCTTCTTCAATAAGGGTAGGGTGAGGTGGATAGGTTCTTTGCTTGTGATGATAATTAGTATTGATGAGGCCGTGGCAGTAGAACTTGACCTGGGGCACCGGGGAAACATATGTGGTTGGTGTTACTGTCCGGCTGAGGTTGCAAAGTGGGTGGCTTCACAGCCATCCCCAGATCTGCATTCATGGCTGCAGGTAGAGCTTTGCTCCTTGCTCACTGCCAGGCACAGGTGCAGAAAGAGCCCTGGGTGGGGTGAAAGGAGTCCAGAGAAAGGGTGTTAAAAGAAGAGGGACTTTCCTTGGGTGTGAAAAATGCCACATAGCCCCTCATTCAAATGAAGGATGCTGGCTAAATCAAGTGCAATGATAATACTTGCACATTGTCCTCACAGCTCTGAGTAGCAGGCTGTTAAGCTGCCTTTTAGAAATAGTAGGTTTAGCCGGGCTCGGGTGGCTCACATCTGTAATCCTGACTACTCAGGAGGCTGAGATCTGAGGATCACGTTTCAAAGCCAGCCTGGGCAGAAGAAGTACATGAGACTCTCCAATAAACCACTAGAAAACTGGAAGTGGCCTTGTGGCTCAAGTGGTAGAGTGCTTGCCTTGAGCTGAAGAGTGCAGGGACAGCGCCCAAGCCCAGAGTTCAAGCCCCACAACCGACAAAAAAAAGAAAAAAGAAAAAAAAAAAAGAAAAAGTAGTTTCAGCCAGAAGTGGTGCTGTGGCTCAAGTGGTAGAGCGCTAGCCTTGAGCTGAAGAGCTGAGGGACAGCGCCCAGGCTGAGTTTAGGCCCCAGGATCGACCAAAAAAAATAGTTGTTTTGGCTGTGATGGCTCACGCTTGTAATCCTAGCTACTCAGGAGGCTGAAATCTGAGGACTGCATTTGGAAGCCAGCCCAGGCAAGAAACTGTGAGACTCTTATCTCCAATTAATCACAGAAAAAGCCAGAAGTGGCACTATGGGCTCAAGTGGTAGAGTACTAGCCTTGAGCAAAAGAAGCCCAAAGACAGAGTGCAAGCCTCAGGTCTGGCAAAAACAAAAGCAGTTTTATTGTTTTTGTTTTTTTTTTGTCAGTCTTGGGACTTGAACTTAGGGCCTGGGCACTGAGCTTCTTTTGCTCAAGGCTAGTACTCTATCACTTGAGCCACAGTGCCAATCGAACCTAGGGCTTCATGCATGCTAGGCAAGCACTCTACCACTGCGCCACATTTCCCAGCCCAAAAAGCAGTTTTATTAATATATAACACATCTTACAGCTGGCCCATTTAAATGCACAATGTAATTTTAAAATATATTTTATATTCAGAGTTGAGTGAATATCAGCATACGGTTTTATATTTTATCACCCCTAACTAAAATCCTATATCACTTGGTTCAGTGGCTCATGCCTGTAATTCCAGCTACTGCTAGGTAGAGATTTGGAGGATCGTGATTTGAAGGCAGCCTTGGCAAAAAGTTAACAAAGGTCCCTCCCCGCTACCCCCATCAGCCTATAAACCAGTATGGTGGCATGTACCTTCACTTCAGCTATGCAGGTCATAGCTAAGAGGATCATTGTCCGTGGCCAACCAGGACACAAAACAGCCCTATCTGAAAAACAGTCTAAAAGCAGAAAGTGCTGGGGGTGTGACCCAAGCAGTAGAGCAAACTGTCTAGCAAGTACAAGAGCCCCAAGTGCAAACCCCAGTAAATAGAGATGGGGAGATCAGTAACAACACCTTATTCAAGTGTAATGAGGACTGAATTCTGGTCTCTGAAGAGTTTGGCTCGGGCCTGGCAGAGGGCCCAGCCTGATGCATGCTCATGTGTGTTATTTTGAAAAGATTTTTAGTGGGGGACACACTGAGGTTGGACTGGTGTTCCCAAAGGCACATCTGATTGCAGAGTGACTGGCTTCCAAAAGGCTGGCCTGAAAGGGGTTTAAGAAGGGGCTCCCACAGACCCCTGTGCCTTTGGGAATTTCTCGCAAATATCTGAATTCTGGTCTTCTTGCGAGCTGGGGGACTGACTGACCCTCCTCTCTTTCTCCCTGCAGCACACCCACAGACAGACGCCATGCTGGGGGCTCTAATGCCCTTGTCTTCTATGCTGCTGCTGCTGCTGCTGCTGCTGGGGTGTGGACCACGGGTGTCCGCTGGTGGTGGGGCTGGCGGGGCAGCAGGCTATGCCCCAGTGAAGTATGTGCAGCCCATGCAGAAGGGGCCCGTGGGACCGCCCTTCCGTGAGGGCAAGGGCCAGTACCTGGGTGAGAGCACACCCCTCCCCACATGCCTCAAACAGTTCCTTACTCCCCAACTCTCCTGACCTCCATCAGACCCTCCCAGGCCTCCAACACAGTCCCCACCAAAGTCCTCTCATGTCTGCTGAGGCTGCTCTGGGTCTTCTCAGCCTCAGAGTACCTGGAAATGAGCTGTGGCTGACCAGCACAAGTGGTCCTCAGATGGGGGCAGGCTGGGAGACACTGGGGAAGTTGGGGTGATTTAGCTTTGGCTGGTCCTAAGGCAGACTGCTGGTGCCCCCTGGTGGCCACTCTACTCTCAGGTTTATGCAGGAACGAGTCATGGGCTCATGCGGGCCCTGGGTGAGGATAACCTGCCCAGGAGACCCTTGGATGTCTCCTGAACTCCCCCTTCCATGAGGGCTAGGGATGGTTTTCCTGAGCAACTACAGGCCAGCTCCTCCCCAGTGTACCCCACACTGCTGCGGGGGATACGGAGATAGGGGTTCCTACTGTCCAGGTCTTTGACCCGCCTCCTCTTCATCTTTTTTCCTCTCAGAAATGCCTCTACCACTGCTGCCGATGGACCTGAAAGGAGAGCCCGGCCCACCTGGGAAGCCTGGGCCGCGGGGCCCCCCGGGCCCTCCCGGCTTCCCGGGAAAGCCAGGCACTGGAAAACCAGGGCTCCACGGGCAGCCTGGCCCTGCTGGCCCCCCTGGCTTCTCCCGGATGGGCAAGTCTGGTCCCCCGGGGCTCCCAGGCAAGGTTGGACCACCAGGACAGCCTGGGCTTCGGGGGGAGCCAGGGATAAGGGGAGACCAGGGCCTCCGGGGACCCCCAGGCCCCCCTGGTCTGCCTGGCCCCTCAGGCATGACTGTCCCAGGAAAACCAGGTACCCAAGGGGTACCAGGTCCCCCAGGATTCCAGGGGGAGCCAGGACCCCAGGGGGAGCCTGGACCCCCAGGAGATCGGGGCCTTAAAGGGGATAATGGAGTAGGTCAGCCAGGGCTGCCTGGAGCCCCTGGGCAAGGGGGTGCCCCTGGGCCCCCTGGCCTCCCTGGTCCAGCTGGCTTGGGCAAACCAGGCTTGGATGGACTCCCTGGGGCCCCCGGAGACAAGGGTGAGTCTGGGATTCCTGGGGTTCCAGGCCCTAGAGGGGAACCAGGAGCTGTGGGTCCAAAAGGACCCCCTGGGGTAGATGGTGTGGGGGTTCCAGGGGTAGCAGGGGTGCCAGGGCCACAGGGCCCCACGGGGGCCAAAGGGGAGCCAGGGATTCGGGGGCCCCCTGGCCTGATAGGTCCTACTGGTTATGGTATGCCGGGATTACCAGGTCCCAAAGGGGACAGAGGCCCTGCGGGGGTCCCAGGGCTCTTAGGAGACAGGGGTGAGCCAGGGGAAGATGGGGAGCCAGGGGAGCAAGGCCCACAGGGTCTTGGCGGTCCCCCTGGACTTCCTGGGTCTGCAGGGCTCCCCGGCAGACGTGGGCCTTCAGGGCCTAAGGGTGATGCAGGACCTGGAGGACCACCAGGAGTGCCTGGCATTCGGGGTGACCAGGGGCCCAGCGGTCTGGCTGGGAAACCTGGGCTTCCAGGTGAGAGGGGACTTCCTGGGGCCCATGGGCCTCCCGGACCAACCGGGCCCAAAGGTGAGCCAGGGTTCACAGGCCGCCCCGGAGGACCAGGGGTGGCAGGAGCCCTAGGGCAGAAAGGTGAGCTGGGGCTCCCTGGGCAGCCTGGCCTGAGGGGCCCCTCAGGAATCCCAGGACTCCAGGGCCCAGCTGGTCCTATCGGGCCCCAGGGTCTTCCAGGCCTGAAGGGCGAGCCAGGCCTGCCAGGACCCCCGGGAGAGGGGAAAGTAGGGGAACCTGGCACTGCTGGGCCCACAGGGCCCCCTGGAGTCCCAGGTTCCCCAGGACTCACCGGCCCTCCTGGGCCTCCCGGGCCTCCCGGCCCCCCTGGAGCCCCTGGGGCCTTTGATGAGATTGGCATCGCAGGCTTGCACCTGCCCAATGGCGGGGTCGAGGGTGCTGTGCTGGGCAAGGGGAAGCCACAGTTTGGGTTGGGTGAGCTGTCTGCCCATAGCACACCAGCCTTTACCGCAGTGCTCACCTCGCCCTTCCCTGCTTCCGGCATGCCAGTGAAGTTTGACCAGACTCTCTACAACGGCCACAGCGGCTACAACCCGGCCACCGGCATCTTCACTTGCCCGGTGGGCGGCGTCTACTACTTTGCTTACCATGTACACGTCAAGGGCACCAACGTGTGGGTGGCTCTGTACAAGAACAACGTGCCAGCCACCTACACCTACGACGAATACAAGAAGGGCTACCTGGACCAGGCATCTGGCGGGGCCGTGCTCCAGCTGCAGCCTAACGACCAAGTCTGGGTGCAGATGCCCTCGGACCAGGCCAATGGCCTCTACTCCACCAAGTACATCCACTCTTCCTTTTCGGGATTCTTGCTCTGCCCCACATAACCCGTGGGGGCCCTGCTGTCCAGGCCTTCTCCTCTTTAGTGGTAGAGCAACCTTTCAGTTACAAAGACCTCCATTTAAAGAAAACAGCCAGAGGCTGAACAGAGGCGGCCGTAGCCTTGGCTGGAGGAGACTGACTTGCTTCCCATGTGCAGGCCGAGAGCTTTACCAGAAGGGGTTGGCCTGAGTTCTTCTCCCCCAGATGTCTGTGCAGTAAGGGAGTTGAACCCCTGTTCCTGCCCTGCCTGGTCTGCAGGCAGGAACCCAGGTATTCAGTCCAGTCCCTATATATGTCCTGGCTGCTGCTGGGCCCCGATAAACTGGCTCAGCCAGAGGGGGCTGAGCTCCCCATCCATCCTCCGAGGGAAACAGCCCTTCCTGCTGGCTCCTGGATGGCACCTACTTAAGGGATGGAGATACTTGCTCAAGAAATGGGGTATAGGCTCCTTCACAGTCTTAGGAGGCTGGGGCTCTTCTGGCTCCCCAGGAACACCCGTGTAGGACAGTTGGGAAAAGGAGGCAATGGAGGTGGTGTGGACACCCTGCTGCTAATGCAACCCCCAGGTGGTGCTGTGACATCATCGGGCCTATCCTGGCTGGGACAATTTTATGACCCTCTGCAGGATCCTGGGAAGGCTTTGGCCACAGACATGGGGGAAAAGTAGTCTGGGAGAGGTAGGGCATTGGGCTGGGGGCAGGTCAGTAGCTCTTCCTTCCATCTCCCAAGCTTCTCCCCATCCTTGTGCTGGTCCTGTTTAGGATGAGGGCAGTGAGCAGGCCAGCTATGTGCTGGAAAGATCATACTGAAGTATCTGCACAGATCATGTCATAGAGCAGGACTGATGATCAGACAAGAATACTCTTCCTTTTACCTGCTGGACTGGCCTGGTTTTCTCATTCCAAATTTTTTTTTTTTTTGGTCCAGTCGTGGGGCCTGAACTCTGGGCCTGAGCACTGTGTCCCTCAGCTCTTCAGCTCAAGGCTAGCGCTCTACCACTTGAGCCACAGCACCACTTCCGGCTTTTTTTTCCTGCTTATGTGGTGCTGAGGAATCGAACCCAGGGCCTCAGGCATGCAAGGCAAGCGCTCTACCACTGAGCCACCTTCCCAGCCCTCTCATTCCAAATTTTTAAGGGATCCTGGCCACCCCCAACCAGTGTCCCCAAGGCAGAGCCTCTCATTTGGTGCTCTGAACAGGGGACAAAGGAGCTTTAGGATGAAGGCTGAATAAAAGCCACAGGGTGGGTTGTGTCTGCCAGAGGGATAATCTGTAGGAGACTTCTCCCTCCACGCTCTGCAATTTCCTGTTGTAAGCAGGTTAGGGCCCAGAAGGCAAAGGCCCTGAAAGGCAGCCAACAGGCGGAACTGGAATGTTTCTGCCATCCTCCTCCGCTCCCCATCAGCGCCTCTGCAGGAGGCTGGCTGGCTGAGGTGATGGGACAGTTGCTGTCCATGCATAGATGGTCTTCGCTTGGTGCTCATAGCCTCCTCTAAGCCTGCCCATATCTCCATACCAAGTGTGAGCCTTGGTCACTTGGAAGTGATCTTGTTGCACTGTTCCAATTCAGGCCCACTCAACTGTCCATGAAGGCAGAGGATGGCTGATTTCTGACTCTCTAAGCTGTGGTTCCTCAGGTTGTGTGCCAACCCCCCCTTCCCTCCCCCAACTCCTCCAATAATTCCTAAAGAGAGAGAAGCAATCCTAGACTTGCCCGAGTGACTTTTTTGGGAGAAAAGGTTTTGGCTGGGGTTCACGGTGCATTTCTTCCTAACACCCTAGAGAACCAACTTAAGGAGTTAACCTTCTTCCCCGGGTCAAAACCACTTACCTGTTGTGTTAGGGAGCAGTTCTGATGGGTAGAAATCAACCAGCTCACAGTGGGCTTCCCAGGAAACAAGTAGGCACCGGGGAAGGCCAACAAAGAAGGCTTCAGAGCTAGCTCCATGGGGTTCCACAGGCCTTTAGGGCAGGTGGCAGACATTTCTGAAATGTTTATGAGATGTGAGTTGCAGGTGTCCTTTGACAAACAATGTCAGGTTTTAACTATGAAAACTACATTACCTTGTACATTTTTAATATCCTGATTCTCATTTCTTTAAGATTAAGGTTTAAGTGTTTTCCACTAGTTATTTCATTTCCAATCTGGTATAGGAATTTAGTTCTCTATTTATCATTTACCCTGTGTCAGTGATTCAGAAAATTGTACCAGGGAGCCAAAGACAGGACTTCTTTTTGAAAAGAAAAAAATTACACTATTGTGTTGACATGACCTCAATAAAATCTGTTGTATAAAACAGCACTGTGCTGACACTGCATTATGCAGAGGCAGCAAAGAAGGTCCAAGGACTTCTCTGGGCTCTTGTTACCAAGTGCGTTCCTCACCAGCTCTCCACCCTGGGCTTCTGTCACCACATCAGAAACCTTAGATGTTCCCATGTAGCAAAGACCCTGTATACTAGCAAGCACCAAGAGGCATTTTAAGAAACCAACAGGTAGCTGGGCAACAGTGGCTCACAACTGTAATCCTAGCTATTCAGGAGGCTGAGGATCATGGTTGAAAGGCAGCCCAGGCAGAAAAGTCAGTGACACTCATTTATCTCCACTAAACTACCAAAAAGGGCTGGGAATGTGTATTAGTGGTAGAGTGCTTGCCTAGCATGCATGAAACCCTGTGTTTGATTCCTCAGTACCACATAAACAGAAAAAGCTGTAAATGGCTCTGGCTCAAGTGGTAGAGTGCTAGCCTTGAGCAAAAGAAGCTCAGGGACAAGCTAAGTGCCAGTGTCTCATGCCTGTAAGCCTACTCAGGAGGCTGCGAGGATCACGGGTCAAAGCCAGCCCAGGCAGGAAAGTCCGTGAGACTCCCTATCTCCAATTAACCACCAAAAACCATAAGTGGCACAGTGGCTCAAGTGGTAGAGCACTTGCCTTGAGCTGAAGAGCTCAGGGACAGTGCCCGGGCCAAATTCAAGCCCTAGGACTGGCAAAATAAATAAACTACAAAACAAAACAAGTCAGAAGTGGAGCTGTCACTCAAGTGGTGGAGTGCTAGCCTTGAGCAAAAGAAGCTCAGAGACAGAACTCAGGCCCTGAGTTCAAGCCCCAGGACTAGCACCAAAACCACCACCAAAAAACTAAAGGGCAGTAGCTGGAGCTGGGAGAGACAGATTGAACTTCATCAGAATATTCCTGTAATCTCTCAGGGGTAGTGGAGCATGACCGCTAGCTCAGAATCCCAAGGGCAAAACTTTGACATCTGATACAAATTATGAAATTGTGAATTTTTGCTCCTGAGGGCAAGGCCAGAGCCAGGCCCAGTGCTGAGGGTGGGGCTAGGGATGCTGTCCTGGGTAGAAAGCAACTGCTCACAGCCAACTGTGCTCAGCAGTTGGCATACAGATCTGTCCTGACTGGGGAAATATAGGGCAACTGACCTGAAACAGCAAAGGCTCTGTCGTCTGCCCTAGCCTTTCCTTCACCAAGCCTGGAAGCTTCTTAAGAGAATGCCCCTTGTTTTCCTTTGAGGTAGGGTCTCCCTATGTAGCTGACCTTATACTGGCAATCCTGCCTCAGCTTCCTGAGTGCTAGGATTACAGATGCAGGCCACCCCACACAACTTAGGACATCCCCATGGTTTAGGGGAAGTGTCTTCTTCTCACCTAACTGTTCTTCAAAATGGATGCTGTGCAAAATCTCCTTGTGGGGAGAGGACTTCAGTTAGGTATCAAGACAAGAGGCAAACAGCGTTGAGGCTACACCCAGGATGACACACCTCCCTCCCAATCAGTGACAGGTGCCACCACATCTTCCACAGAGTCCCAATCCTGGCCTAGTTGGCCTGTCTCCTATTTGAGGAAGTTAGGACAATCTGACTTGTTCCTACCCACTGCCTATGGGAAGCATGTCGGCACCTGCCTGGGCCTCTCTCTGTGGCTTCCAACAGGAAAAGCCACCACGTTACGCCTGCTTTGTCCTTAAGGCAGGCTGGGGGACTGGAAGACTCTTCTTGACAACAAAGCACCTGTCTCCTTGGGGTCCCAGCATTGAAGAGAGTGCAGCCCAGACAGAAGCACTGCATTAGGCTTGAGAAGGTCAAGCTACCAGGGAAGAGAAAGAGACAACCAGGATTTACCAAAAAAACATTTATTGCGGTGAATTCCACTGGAAGCTGTCACAAACCATTACAGACAAGGTCCATGTATGCACCTAGAGAGGCTGGGTGCAAATGTTTGTCCCTTGTCCAAACAACCTGCTGTTGGGGACCCTGTCAGTCAAGGACAGGCTATCTGCCAAGCTGGCTAACAACCAACAGGGAGGAATGATGTTACAGCAGATTATTTCTCCTCTCCAGATCCCATGTCTCAGACAAAAAGAAAAAGCAAATGTCACAAGTACTCTTCTAAATAAAACCTGCCCGGGTCCCTTCATGTTTCACTGATGACTCGTGGAGGCCCACGGCTCTGCAGAAAGCCAGAACCCCAGCAGTAAGGAGGCACCAGTCCCTACTTACTGTTCTTGGGACCTCTCAAGACCCTAGCCTTAAGAGATGAGGTCCAGGCTCTGCTTCAGAAAGATCAAGGCAGGGGAAACAGCTGAAGGAACCTTCGGGTTTCACTCTGAGCTGTGTTTGGTCCTTCTGGCACCTGGCAGAAGCTCAGCAGCTGTGGCCTTCACAGACTCTTCTGGAAGACTCGGTGTAGGCTCTGGGCCAGGACGTCTGTCTCCTCATAGCCCTCACAACTCTGCTGCCAGCTCTCTGGCACCTGATCCATCCCATAGTAAGCGCCAGCAATGGCCCCGGCCATAGTAGCAATGGTGTCTGTGTCCCCACCGAGTGAGATGGAATAGATGAGAGTCCTCTGGAGGCTATTGAAGGCAGTGGGAATCTCAGGGTCAGGATCCATGCAGCGCAGGAAGCAGTAGATAGCGGTGGGCACAGACTCAAAGGCAGCAATGCCATTCCCTGTGGGGAAGTTGGACCACAGGGAATGACTTGCCCCCCAGCACCAGGCTTCTTGCCACTTGCTAAGAGCCAACCCAAGAACCTAGGCTCTACAGTCCACCTCCTGGAGTGACTTTCCCCCATCAGGTTGGCTGCAGGCTGGGAAAGGACACTCACTGACTGTCCTGCTCTCGGCTTTCACTCCTCAGTGCGGAGTGAATAAAGTTAATCCTTCTCCCAGAGCTGTGGAGAGGATACAGGTCACATCTGTGAGGCATTCTGAATATGTCTAGGACACAGAGAAGTGGTAGGCAAATAAAAAACCGTTATCACACTGGCTGTAGAAATTGGCAATCAGAGGCTGGGAAGGTGGCTCAGTGGTAGAGTGCTTGCCTTGCATGCATGAGGCCCTGGGTTCAATTTCTCAGCACCACATAAGTAGAAAAAGCCAGAAGTGACACTGTGGCTCAAGTGGTAGAGTGCTTGCCTTGAGCTGAAGAGCTCAGGGGCAGTGCCCAGGCCCAGAATTCAAGCCCAGGACTGGCAAAAGAAAAAAAGAAAAAAAAAGAAATTGGCAATCAGCGGTTGCTCTGGGCCACCAATCTACAAGGCTGAGGGCACCGAGCTTACAACCCTGCCATGGGCCCTACAAGGAAGGCTCTTGTTGTTTTACCAGCCCTGGGCAGAAGTGGGTAGCAAGCACAACTCTGTGCTTCCCTTCTACCCTGGATCTGAGGAACAAATCATCAGCAAAGTCTACCTACCTAGCTCAGACACCACTTCTTCTCGGCTCACTGAGTCCTGGTCCAACAACTCTCCAATCTTCTTCAGGCGGCTGGAGTATGGACGCTCCTCCATACCCAACCTGAGGTTGGAGAGAAATTTCAGGTAAGTCAGAGCTAGCAGACAAACAGGTAGAAGGGCTTCATACGAAAGTGAGCAGGAATAGGTCAGGCTCCCACAGGTACTCTAACAACCCAGTTGAGGCAAAAGGGCCTCTTCCCACCCTCCCTAAGGTCTGCAGTGAAAGAAGGCAGGTTTTGCTTTGGGCAATGCTAGATGCCCCCCATGCTGTCCCGCCACCAACTCATACTTACTCCCTGGCAGCCAAGACTGACTGGGGGTCCCCTTCTAGCTCCTCCATGTGGCCCAGGAGCTGCTCCAGGAAGCGCCCGCTGGAGGACTCACCCTGCAGAGCCAGGTGCACAGCCAGAGCCTGCAGGATGGCACCGTTGTAACCCAGGGAGGAAGCATGGGTAAGCTGGGCTGAGAGACGAGCAAACTGGGGAGAGAAGGAATCATTACCAGAATATCACTGCAGATGAGTTGGGGAATCCCAGGGGCAGTTGGCCAATACCTTCTGAACATCTTTGATGCTGCTATAGGCCAGGGGGATGCCTGCTACCCGCATGGCGCCCCCATTGCCATAGGACCCCTTTCCATTGAACTGGGCCCGAGCAGGCTCATAGACATCATGGCACTTGTGACTCAGGAGTTTCTTGAAGACAGTGATGACTCCAGCTCCGTAACCTCTATCAGGGTCATTCTTATACTCTTGGGCAAATCTATCAGGGAGAAGGAAGGCAGAATGTAATTTCAAAAGTGTTTCTTGGGGCTGGAAGAAATGGATGGGCTGGGTTGGAGGAGGTGGCCTGGGAGACCTAAGGTACCTGTACCAGTAGTGCTGCCATTTTTAGCTTGTGAATCTGCATCAACTGGAGAAAGGGTCCTGCTGAGGGTGAGGGTCCCAGACACGTACAGACATCATCCCTCTGTGGAGCAGCTCAGCAGCTCTGCCCACCTGGCTTGACTCACCCCAGGGCCATCCCCCTCACCTGTGAGCCATGTCCACCTCATCAAAAGCCTCCTTGGCCAGCAGGGACTGCACCAGGGCTCTGGTCATGGCTGTGTCATCTGTGTAGTACAGTGCTTCTGCAGGGAGAGGGCAGGGAGTGAGAGCAGGCTGTGGACCAGGAAAATAGGCTCCAGCTCATTCCTTCAAGGTACGATATGTCTACAGTGACTTTGCATCAGCCTCTCACCTGTGTAGCTACATAGGCTCTAAGAAGCCTCCATGGTTAGCCTTGGGATTTCCAGAAATTTTTCATTGCAAATTACTCACACCATGTGCTACATTTCTTTTTTTTT